TAAACATCCTCAACTATCTTCCCATTAAGGAAAGCGGTTTTGACGTCCAGTTGTTATATTTCATAATCATGAAATGCAACAATGGCAAGCATAACCCTAATAGATTTAATCTTAGCCATTGGTGAGAAGGTCTCATCAGATTCAATCCCTTAGGTTTGAGTAAAGCCCTTCACAACCAGTCGTTCCTTGAAAATATGTACCTTTCCATTTATGTTTGTCTTCTTCTTGAAGATCCACTTGCATCCAACTGTCTTTCGACTAGGTACATGGTTAACAAAATTCCAAACTTGGTTGTCATACATGGACTTGATTTCGCTGTCCATTGACTCTTTCCACTTTGCAGCCTCAGGGCCGTCATTGCTTCCTTATAAGTTAGCTGGCTCATCCAAATTTACCAGTGTACTATCACTGATAAAAGTCTTATCTTCTGTGGTTATATGAAAACCATAGAACTGAGGCGTCATACTAACTCTACAAGAGCGACGAAGAGGTAATGGCATGTCAATTGGTTTAACAAGACTCTCATCCTATGGTTGAGTGTCAATATCTTCAGAGGTTCCTTCACTGGTTGCCTCTTGAATTTCTTCAAGATCAATAATACTCATACTGTCCTCTTTGAATATGAGCTCTCTCTCGCGAAAGACTCATATTCAAGCTACAAATACCATGTTTTCACTAGGTCTGTAGAACAAGTATCCAAATGACTTTTGTGGATAACCAACGAATAAACACTTCTTACATCTAGGATCTAGTTTGTCGTGAGTCTTTCATCTAACAAAAGATTCACAACCCTAGACCTTGATGTGTGCTAACGAGGGAACTTTCCCTGTCCACATCTCGTGAGGCGTTTTGTCAACCTTCTTTGTTGGGTCACGAATAAGGATATGGGCGACAGTGTGTAAGGCATACCCCAAAAAGAAATTGGTAGAGTAGCTCTACTCATCATGGAACGAACCATATCCAACAAGGTTCGATCGTGCCTCTTAGCCACACCATTAAGTTGTGGTGTTCTAGGAGGAGTCAATTGCGAAACAATTCCACATTCCTTGAGGTATTCGTGGAACTCGATGCTAAGATACTCTCCGCTTCTATCAGATTGGAGCATCTTTATCTTCCTGCACAATTGATTCTCGACTTCATGCTTAAACTCTTTGAACTTTTCAAAGGTTTCTGATTTATGTTTGATCAAGTAGATATGTCCATATGTGTTATAATCATCGATAAATGTCACATAAAATCGATTTGCATCTCTTGTGGTGGATCTGAAGGCAATAAACCTTCACCTCTTTCATAAGATCCAGTGAAAGGTGACTTTGTCATCTTGCCCAAAAGACAAGACTCACGTGCATCATTTGACCTAAGTTCAAATGATTCCAACACTCCATCCTTTTGGAGTTGGGTGATGCGTTTCTTGTTAATGTGCCCAAGACGATAATGCCACGATGATGCTTTTCTTTCCAATTTGAAATGACTTTAAGAGAAATGAAGTGGATCTTGAAAATAAGACTTGATTTTATTCTTTTCCTTTCATCTCGAGAACACAAATGTTTAGTTCCTTTTATTGAATTCAAATTTGGAAATACAAAAATACAATCTTCTTTCTACTTCTTTTATCTTTTTTTTTTCTTTCCCATTTTTTTCTTTGCTAAAACTTGGGAACACGTCGTAAGGGTTCCGTCACTAGGCTAATTCCATAGACTCCTTGGTGGTAGAGGGGGAGAAAAAGTTTGAGAAATTAGGGGTTTATGAGAATAAAAAAAGGTGTGCAAAATTTTAGTGGAGAGGACGAGAGCACCTATAGATTAAATTAGAAATTAGGCGGAGGTCTTTTAAATTTTGGGAATTACGAGCATGGTGAAAATTTGATTTTCCAGAGACTTATGGTCGCACAAAAAATATGTTCCACAAACAACAATAATATATTGGCACAAAAGGAAAAGGAACACTGCCCCTAGCTCTCGCTAGGGGGCTTTCTAAGATACACTCGTAAAGCCCTTAACGAGAGAGAGAGAGAGAGAGAGAGAGAGAGAGAGAGAGAGGCTTGCATGTGATTGGTTGGTTTAAGGAAATGTGGGCTGTGATTGGTTGGCCTTTATTTGTTTTTTTTTTCAAAATCAATTCTATTTAAATGGCTTCACCACCACTCCCTATCTTTTACAATGTTCTAAGGTTTTTTTAACACATGCTTACATGGCTTAACAAAATCTGATATGACAGTGTACTAAGGGTGCTACCACTCCCTTTAGTCTAAGTATTGACAGAATGAAAACTAGAGTAGAGAGCATAATGA